CAGGAGTCCGGGAGAACCGCGGGGACAGAGGTCCCGAGTAGCCGTGCCCAAGGAGGAGTAAGGCAGCCTCCCAATCATATTTTCCAGCAAGACGTGGCGGGCGAGAACAAGAGGGTGTCTTGGGCCGGCCTTGACACGGAGTGAGGGACCTCCAGGAGATCACGGCCCTCCTGACGGACCCCGCCGTGACACTTCTAGATTTCTTCTTGTATTTGATTTCTTCTCTCTTTTATGGTCTGGCAAGCCTGCTGCCATGATAGAATAGTTTGGAATGGTTTTTGCTTCTACCGTACCATTCCCTCGCTAGATCTCAAATCCTTGGAGAGGTTGTATTCATAAACGTATTCCTCAAGGCTTCTGGAATATTGTGCTCAAAATGTTTCTCTTTGGTTTCTACTGCCCCTCCCTCCTTGCGTTTCTCTCCAGATATCTACCTCCTCCTTGCCCAGATCAACTGTACCCCCAACAACCCTGTATATTCATTTAGGTCTGTTATATCTCATCTCCATATACTGTTGTTAACAAGGATGTTATCTCTGGAGGCACAAATCCACATTTTGAGAACTGACCCTAAGCATCACGGATTCTCAATAGGATCTTCTAGGCTGAGCACTGAGTCCCATTGGGTAGGCTGGTTTTCTTTAATCTTTACATAATCTATACAGGAGCCTCTGGGAACCCCGTAAGATTGGGCCCCTAATGTAGTCTATGGCCTGTTGTGACCAATTTATAAAACTTTTCTGAAAAGGTTACACAAATGTATTGTCTTAAACAGTACATAATTAGAAGGTATAATCCCTATTCCATGATGATATCTTTTGAGCTTTAACATGTCTTGAATTAAAATGATCTTTATATAGGGTTTGGGGTGTTTTTTTTTTTAAAAAAACATCTTAAAAAATAAAAAATACAATTAAATAAAAGAAATCTGATTTAAATAAAAAAAAAAATCAGTGTTAGGATAGGCTGAGATGTATTTTCCAGTACTGATATTTTTCACATTCACATCAGTATTGTCCTGCATCCTTGCACTGCTACTTTATGATAGTAGCAGAGTGAACAAGATGCAGAAATTTCCATTATAGAGTTCAGGGGTGTAGGTTGTAGCCGTGTTGGTGTAAGGACATAGGCAGACACACCAGCCCAGCCTCTGGCTTTTTTACTTTTCATTCCATCCAGGAAGAGCACACACCAACTGCTGACACTTCCTTAGCCTGACAAAGGGTTTTTGAACCCGAAAGCTTGCTTAAAAATTGTTCTCCAACTATTTAAGTTGGTCTAATTGTTGTCATATGCATATGCATCTATGTGAAGAATCAATTGACAAAGAAACTATGTTGGAAAAGTGCACGGTGTATTTAGATGCCAGTTCACGCAAAACCATCCCTCTTCTGGATAGCGCCCAAGATAAATGCTCCCATAGTTTTCCGGAATCGGGGCCTCTTGATTAAAATGGCACATCTCGCGGTGCCCCTGATCTTTAATGGCACCAGGTTCTGCAGTCCACGGGCAGGTCTTGGGAAAACTGTCTCTGGCACTTACAGAATTTCGAGCCATGGGTTCCCTACTTGGTTCCACTGGTTTTAACGCTGCGAAGTTACTAGGAGCTGAGGGGTTTCGTTTTGGCTTCTGAGGCGTAAGCAGGATCTGTTCACTTGGAAATCGGACTAGGTGGTGAGAAGAGGAGGATGCAATGGTGTTTGTCTGCAGGTGGCTGGCAGCGTACACTGTAAGAAATGGAAATCCAGCACAACCTTCTTTTGCATGATATTTTGTCATGAAAATAAACCCAGTATTCAGTAGAGTTTTCTTTTCTCTACAGGCATCTTTGCTTACCTGAACTACCATGTTCCCCGGACAAGACGGGAGATCCTGGAAACCCTTATCAAAGGGCTTCAGCGCCTGGAGTACCGAGGTTATGACTCCGCAGGTGGGTCGCTGCAAGCAACCAAGATTTCATAGATTTCATAGGCATTAGGGGCTGGAAGTGACCTCGCGAGATCATTGAGTCCAGTCCCCCTGCCACAGGCAGGAAGTCAGCTGGGATCACGTGACCCCAGCAAGAAAAACATCCGCGTGGTTTTTTTGAAAGAGTCCAAAGTAGGTGCTTGCACCACCTCGGGTGGGGTGGGGGAGTCCCAGACCCTGGACACTCGCACCATAAAGAACTTTTTTCTTATGTCTAGTCTAAATTGGCCTTCCTGGAGTCTATGGCCATTAGACCTTGTTATCCCTTGGGGAGCTCTGGTGAACAGGTGTTCTCCCAGGGCCTGATGTACCCCTCTTATGTAATTGTAGGCAGCCACCAAATCCCCCCTGAGCTTTCTCTTCTCCAGACTGAAAAGTCCCAAGTCCCTCAGCCTCTCCTTGAGCAGCCTGCCCTTCAGGTCTTGGATTACACAAATGGCTCTCCTCTGGACTGTCTCAAGCTTTTCCAAGTCCCTCCTGAAGATGTTATTTTGTTTCTTGTCACTTTGTATCGGTTTTACTGACAGATGCATTGAACACAGAGGTCACAAATAAACCTGCTTTACACTTCCCTCTTTTTTGCGGAAAGTAAAAACCCAAGCGGCCAGTTTTAAATTTCAGCGGACCCACAATGTGTCAGGGGCCTCTGAGTAATAATTACAGCTGTATAGGACAATATCCTTGGTTCCTTTCATCTGATGATTTCCTTGAAAATAAGAAGATATTCTTAATCTGAAGGGGCTCTGCATCTTTATTTTCAAAGGTGTGGGGGGTGAAAATAGCACCATAGACCATCTGTCCCTCACTTTGCTTGAATATAAAATACGGACAGGACAAAATACATTTTGGTGATTTACGGTTTATTTTGCGGTGGCTGTTAGGTGTGGGAATTGATGGAGGAAATGACAAAGACTGGGAGGCCAATGCCTGCAAAATCCAACTCATCAAGCAAAAAGGGAAAGTGAAGGCACTGGATGAAGAAGTACACAGTATGTATTACTTCTTTTTTGTAGCTTCTTCCATCTCCAGAGAAATCCCAACTACTTTTGCATGTCAAATAGCCAAACTGCAATCATTTATATATACATAATTACTACATTCTGTGCATTTCAGTATAATTAGGGCAGTGTTTCCCAACCCAAGGCACACTTACAATAATAACGTTTTTCCACGGCACACCTGTGAAGGCATTCCCCATCCTCAGACCTATTGTAGCTCATTGCCATGGCAAAACTCTGTGGTGCAGCTGTTCATTTCTGATGGCACAGTGGTTGGGAAACAGTGCCTTAGGGGACACAAGCTCTTCTTATCTGTTAACCTTGGGGGGAGGTATCCTAGTGAAATGGTAAGAAGCAGATTGCAAGTGGTCTTTTATGACTTGGTCTGTTTTTTTCCAGCAGTCACTTGATTTGGCCTTGCTCTGCTATGTAACTATACTCAGAATAACCAGGTACTATCTTTACATAGGAGACAAAGGTCTTTAACAGTGGAATATGTAACTGCAAATGTTGATTAGGAATTTTTCTAGCACGAGGGAGTTGAAAACTTGACATGGATGGTCCTGGTAATGCCCATGCAGTCTGAAATGGCCAGCCCTATTTATATTGAATTCTTCACAGTGTTGTGGCTCTTCTTTTAAAGTGGGAATTTATAGAACATTTAAGTTCCACATTCAGGTGATAAAGCACATGCAAGAAATAGTCCCAGTGATATTACAGATCAAGCGCAAAGCACAGTTAAAAATGGTTGCTGAAGTGAGGCATAAAAGAGGCGAATTTGTGTTAAGTTCTCAGTGACACAAACTGAGGAATAACATTTAGAAAAATTTCAGGGAATTAACTGTATCCTCCAAACAGAAAAAAATAACATTTTCATTAGGATAGAGGACTATCAGAAATTTGGAACTGAGCTTAAGGAAGAAACTGCCAAGACATTTAACAATTGTTTTTTGACTTCCTGACCAACTCGTGCATTTTACAGCCTAAACCCCTATTCAGCCATTGAATAGATGCAGTAGACAGGCAAAGGACCTGGTTAAGGGAAAATAAAAGTGTACTTATAAGTGAGACTGTGTCAAATTGATGAGAAGGCATATAATGTGAGGGCCTCTGCTGCTATTTCTAACTCATTGTGACCTAGATTCAGACTTTAAATTAGTTAAATCTGTGCAGGAAATGAAACTATAAATAGTCATGGCATGAGTTCTGAATGAGCCTGAAGGTATCTTTTTAACACGGGGCTGTCTGATTTTAGTTAAAATCATGATTTTTCAAGTGCTGGTAACTTGTGATTACATTGTATAACCTCCCGCAGCTGTATATTTAAAACAAAAGATAAGCATGTTCAATTGCTTTATTATGTAAGTTTACCATTATGAATATAAACTTGATTTTATCTATCCCAAAGGGATAAGGGGCTCTATCCCTAAGTCAGATAAAACAGGAGGACTGAATAAATGTAAAGGTGCAATATGTGGTAGGGATGTGAAAGGTTAAACGATTAATTGTTTAACTGATAAGCCCAATGATAACTTGTTAGCTTGCCAGTTATTGTTTAGCGAGAGGTGGGGCGTAGTCTGGCAAGGAAAGGCTGGGGCAGGCAGGGCATGGCATGGCAGGCAGGAGGGACGGAGGAGAGGAGAAGCGAGGGGTCTAATATCCATTGCCTACGAGGTTAAAGAAAACAGTGGGTTTACCTCTTCAGTTAAGCCAGGGGTGGGCAAAATGCAGCCCAGGGGCTGGATACGGCTCGCCAGGCCATTCTATCCGTCCTGCATGGCTCCTAAAACATTTAGAAAATTAATATTAATCTGCGCTGGGCTGCCTGTCATGCGGCCCTCGATGGCTTGCCAAAACTCAGTAAGGGGCCGGCCCTCTGCCCAAAATAATTGCCTGCCCCCCGAGTTAAGTAGTTAGCTGCTCATTCACAGGTACTCCCTCCTTCCCAGCACAGAGCTTCACCTGAGCTGTGTTGTCTGGCAGGGCTTGCCACCTTTTCCCCACACTCAAAGGGCCCAGGGAGAAGCTCCCAGCATTGCCTGTGTCTGAGTTGCTGTGTTATTGGTTAACCATTTAACCAATATAATTAGAGGAGGTTAAACGGATACTTTTAAAAAACAGTATTTACATTCCTAATATGTGCCAAGGCTTAAATAATTAAAAAGCAGTGTGTTAATTGCCTACTAAAGAAAATCCAGGAAGAGCACACACCAACTGCTGAAACTTCCTTAGCCTGACGAAGGGTTTTTGAACCCAAAAGCTTGCTTAATAACTATTCTCCAACCATTTGAGTTGGTCTAATAAAAGATATCAAATTCACCCAAGGAACCTTGTCTGCCGAAAATCTTACTGTGCTTTCTAAAAATCTGTTGCGGGAGAAAGAGAAGACAGTCTCCTAACGGAAGGCTGGATTTCTATCCAGAAACAATTCATTCTGTACATTATAGGCTCACTAGGATACTGCTGGTGGTTCTGACCACTTTTAATACTTTGTAGCTCTGAAATAAGCTAGGTCAGTTTGAGAGAATTTTTCAAGAGCATGAGTGATTATGGGCTAGCCGTTCATACGTGGAAAATATAAATGGATGTTATGCCAGAGGTCATTTTTTCCATTTAAGAATAGAAATGCTGGAACCGTTTCGCAAGTAAGAGTTTCAAAATGACCCCTCAAATGGTTTCAAGTGATATTTTCCTAGGTACGTGTCAAACAATGGAAATAATATGGTCCGTTGGAATGGGGTCTGAGGGATAGAGACGGGTTTTTCATGGAGACCTGCAGTAAAAGTTCTCTGTAGCAGTTCTGGGGCACCCTGGATAACTTTCAAGGGTGCTCCAGGGTACCACACAGTGTTCCCACAAACCCGATTCATAAGAGAAACCCAGAGTTTTGTAATAGGAATCCCTAGTGTTCAAAACATCCTGACCTGTTGTCGTCTTTATCAGCTCTGTTACCTTTCTGTAGTATAAAGAAAGCGTGAAAACTAAGAGCTGATATTTACCAGTAGGTGGTGAGTCTGTTGAGGGGTACCTTGAATTTATTGTGGGGTGTCTTGGGTCAAAAAAGATTGAGAACCTCTCCTCTATAGGCCTGTCACAGAATCTTTCAGCGAATGGAAAGTATACCGAGGCATTCTGCTCATTGCTGTGTAGTTCAGAAATTTTCTGTTTCAGTTTATTGGTTTCCACCCTTTTCTTGCAAAAGAATTCTTGAATAAGATCAGTCCATTTAGGTGAAAAATTAGTAGTTTGATTATATGTTTGATCTGTTTCCTCTTCTGAGATTTGCCCATAAACTTGTTTTTGGCATAATTCAGATCAATAAACACTGTTGTATGTAGTATTTGCTTACAGTCAGTATCTGGAAGCATTATGGATTTCCAGTTTATGAAGTATGAGACAGATTCTGGAACTACCCAGTAAAGTAAAGCCACATGTGGATAAGGCTTTGCAGAATGAGGCTGAGAATCATACATGGGAAGATCTTCAAGCTTTTTTTTAAATCAAGATTTTTTATTGCTTAGCTTAAAGTCACTGCCAGTAACTCTACGTGCCTGATGTAGTTATGCTAGTAATTTGCTGATTATATTTTCATTTCAATATTTCAGTCTCCGCATAACCTGTAGCATTGCCCATTTTATGCTCTGCAAGCCTGATCCAACTCCCATGTTGATTTCAGTGACAGTTGGCGCAGGCCATGATATAACCCTCTTGTTCTTTGTCTGCAGAGCAACAGGACATGGATCTGGATATTGAATTTGATGTACATCTTGGAATTGCACATACCCGATGGGCCACCCATGGTGAGCCTAACCCCATTAATAGTCACCCACAGCGCTCGGATAAGAACAACGGTAAGATCTGGTTCTGCACAAGGAAGCGTTTGTTTTTGTGAGGAGGAGGAGGAGTAATGGCTGTTGACTTCTGAGTGAAGAATACTGTTTTTCAGATGAAACAAGTGTATAAAAAGTGTGTGTGTACTTTATACACAAGTCCTGGGGGTTCATATTAAAATTCCTGTGGTATAATAATACCAATTGCTTCTTGAACAGCAGAACGACATTTGTTTGGAAGCAGGTGTATACATAGTTATTTTATTGCAAGCCACATATATTAATCCTCCTTCTGTAGTCAGTGGGAGTTTGGCCACTGACTTCAGTGCAAGCAGCAATAGGATATGTTATTAATTAATTGCAGTAACGGGCAGACTGAATGAATGAATGAATGAATGAATGCTGATGCTACGTAGGGGCTTTTGCCCACTCGTTGGAAGGGGATATGGAATAAGAAAGCCTACACTTAAATGGAACATACAGGAATGTTCCCAACCACTCTTTCACACGAGACATTAGAATGAAAACATGTTTAATGTATTCTCTTTTTGGCAAGAGTGGAGTTTTTGTTTTGCTGGGTAGAAGGCAGCTTGCCTTTATTTAATCTGTGTGCTGCTTCATCAGTAGGACTACAGCAGGCAGCTACATCTCTTGCATATAATAAATGGACTGTTATGGCTCCACCCAAGGGAGCCTTGAGCACTTGACGGATGCTAATTTACATTTGTGCCACCCATATAATTATTAGTGTTCCCCTTTACAGAAAAAGTGAAATGAGGCCCGAAGAAATGAAAAGATGCTCCCTGGTGTGTCTGGCAGAGCCAGAAATTAGGGGCGTGCAAAATGGGCCCTATTCAATTCGGATTCTGTTTGCATCAGGGACTGATTTGATTTGGATTACTCTCTCTGATTCGATTCAGCCGAATCTTAATCTGAAGATTTGATGCCGATTTGGAGAATCGGCGATTCAGCCACAGACACAGCTTTAAATGTGGGTTTTTTTTGTTTTTTTTTGTTTTTTTTTATGTACCTCAGGATACCAGGTGCAGCTCATGACTGCTGTGATGCTGGGGCACATGGAGCGTCCCACAGAAGCATGGGGGGCTCAAAGTACTTCTGGTCCACTTCTGGGTCTGTTGGGGGGGCCCCCCCATGCCCTCCTTGCTCTGCGATCAGCTGCAGGGGGACCCTGGGTCCCTCCCCAGACCCAGGAGGCACCAGTCGCTGAGCCGAGGGAGGGGATATGGGGTGGGGGGGCCTGTGCACTCCCCCAGTGGACTCAGAAATGGACCAGGAGTGCTTTGAGCCCCCCACCCTTCTATGGCATGTTCCATCGCAGCATTCCCTAGCCGCCTGCTATTTGGAGGTAGATAGAAAAAACAGTTAAAGCCGTGTCTGTCCAAATTGCTGAATCTTTCCAAATCTCTCTGAATCGATTCAGAGAGTTCCCATTCAATTGGAGAGTAAAGGGTCTCCTGATTTTAATTTGGATTTGGAGATTCAGCCGCCGAATAGAATTGGGGACCGAAGCTTTGCACAGCCCTACCAGAAATAGAACCCGAGTCTTTTGTTTCCCATTCTGCGGGTTAAGCACAAGTCCATTCTCCATTGTGATTAACTTCATTCAAGGCAATATTTGGATGTACAGGACACATACTCAACCAGTTTGTGAAGGTTTTCAAGTGGAATGGTTATAACCATCTAATTACATATTATTAAATGAAGACCTGGAATAAAATAATCCCTGTAAATAAGGATGTTCTTTGCATTGTTTAGATTGGTGCTAGACATGACGTTGTTATGAATATGGATTAAATATATTTGCTCAATGTACTTTTTTGGGGAAACTTTTTTCCTTCGAACAATTGGAATCAAACTGTTTGGAAAAGAAAAAAAATAGGACCGTTGACTTGAAAAATAGTGACTACTAAACGTAGCGGCATCCTCCAGGGGGAAATGTCATCAACATGCACAATCATCTGGGAAAATGCTACACGTGTAGGATGGCCCAGATTCTGTTCTTTTACATCAGGAAACCCTCCCTTTTGTATTGGACACAAAATGATATTGGACACAACATTGCCACCAAACAAGTTCCTTATCACAGATCTGCCCACCTGGCTTCAACCTGCCGTGCCCTCAGTGAGTCTTGCTGAATAGGTTCTGGACAGGCCAAGACTTATGTGCAGCCAGCCTCCACTGTCGGGGTCTTCATGACAATCCAGACTGTAGTGTGGCAAAACACATACCGTGTCACATTGTTGATGACTGCCCACTAAGTTCAGTAGTGGACTACAGGATGTGCACGTGGCCACTGAGGATGCTATTGTGTGGCTTGGCGATTACGCGCACGCTGACTGATGAAATGATATTAGAAAGACATTGCCGAGGGAATTGGTGCTTGCATTTCATTAAATGCAAAGTACGTTAAATACACAGCTTTAAAAAGCAAATAATTGGCTTTTAAATGAATACACATATGGGGGAGCTTTATTTGTAATTTTTTGCTTGTAAAGGGTTATTCGATGGAATGGCAACAGCTCCAGTGAACAGGGCACAGGACTGGGGATAAAGACTGTTAGGTTTTATTCTGGGCCCTGAGCAAGTCACTCTGTATATGTATTCATTTCAGGCGTGGTGTTTGATTCAACTGTTTGACCCAGAACAGGGGTCATAATATGGGATAAAACTCAAGTCTCTTGCATGGTAATGGAAAGTATTGCCTTCAGTCCACTGAATCAGTGTTCTGTGCACAGCAACTGCAGCATGGTATAGGAGCCATTCTGTTACGGTGGTTGTATGATTCTGTGGAAGTAGGCTTGCTGAAGTAACTTTGACATGCTGCATTTTTAACATTCCAGCGTGCCTTGCGACTGACCATTGGTCTTATCTCTGTTTTCTAGAGTTCATCGTTATCCACAATGGCATCATAACCAACTACAAAGACCTGAGAAAGTTTTTGGTAAGTAAAACTAACCCTGTGTGTTAGTTCTGAGATAAAGGGGCAATGGCACTTATACTGGTGTACTGGTGAGCTTGTTGAACTTCCAGGTCCTTGAATGAGGTGGTGAAAGTCTTGCTTCTGTAGGATGAGAGCCGTTGAAGCTAATGGTGCATATTAACAGGTTTATGCAGCTCAAGACCTAATTGCTGTTGGGACCAGGCCTGTCAGTGGCAATTTCCTACTAGTTTAATTCTTGAACACCCATCTCTTTGCTTTCTTTGATGGTGCCTCTAATGTTTGAGGGAGTTGCACAAAACTACCTCCTTTTCCTCCTCCAAATACCTCCCTGGAACTCTTCTTTTCTGTGAAGCCTCCTGGGACCACTGTGTTTGTTTTCTTGTATTTCCCTGTTAGTCCTTTTGTGTCTGTCTGTCTCCTATTATCCAGTTAGATTGTAATATCTTTGGGATGAAGAATATTTCTTTTGCGTGCAGCACATAGCACAGTAGGGTTCTGGTATGTAGCGAAGGCGGTTTCTTGGCAATACAGTTATCCCAATCATTAACATGGCGCTTGTTTTGTTTCACTTCCAGGAAAGCAAAGGGTATGATTTTGAATCTGAGACTGACACAGAAAGCATTGCCAAGCTTGTAAAGTACATGTATGACAACCGTGAAAGCGATGACATCAGCTTCACAACACTGGTGGAGAGAGTGATCCAGCAACTGGTAATATACTGATTTATTAAAAAAAAATAAACTTGAAAATTTAAGAAGTGTGTTAAAACATTTCCAAATAAGAACAGCAAGCCTAACAGTACTGAATCAGACAGCGGCCAGTCTGCTTTGTGCCTTCTGCTTTATGGACTTTTGTCTCTGTTCTGCACTCTTCAATGAGTAGTGCAAGAAATCTCACAATGGAAAATTGATGGCCAGCCTGTTCTGTTTTCAAGAGACATTTCTTTCTAATTTCAAACAATTGGTGTTTACCTCTTGGCCTGAAGCACAAGCATTTATATTCCTTATATTTCCATCCTGTCTAATGTAGCTTGTGGATATGTTTCACGTAAACACTTAATGTTGCCCAACTCTTGGCCACAGTAATACTTAGCAGCGGCTGGTTTGATAGGTCAGGCGTGGGTTGTAGGAAGAGCAGAAGTATACAGTAGCTCTCCCCAGCAGCTATGTATACTCTTTATTATGCAGGTTTCCTCAGTAAGTCACAGTCCAAGACCTTGGTTAAGGCAGGTGCAAGTAGGACATAAATACAATTCAACTTTTGCTTAAGCCATTTCCTAAGTCTGGGTCTGAAGCTGGCTGGGTATGCAACTCTAGTAGTGGGGCAGGTGTTTGCCCCGTGTGGGAATATCCTTGAAAAGCCTTGTTTAGGTACTAGCCTCTTGGCCTTGATTTCTGAGTCTTTGACATATGATTATGCATCTCATGGGCATAGAAACAGGACCTCTTGTTTGCTTCCTCCTGCTCCTAACTTTTTCTGGAGGCAAATAATTTAAATAATCCTGGAAGTAGAAGACAATGTAATATAGACCCTTCCCTGCAGCTCTTGGTGGAGATGCTGTGTGTTCCCTTGAATGACAGCTGGACAGAGGCTGGTCAAGCAAAGCAATGACTTGTCAACTGCTTTGCTGAAACTGTGGCTTCAGAGCCTGAGAGCTTCTGTACGAGTCCTCTGCTAAGCGGTGGAGGGCATTCCCTTGTAAGGATTTTTTTGTTTGTGTGTTTTTTGAGAATGACTGACTGGTTGAGAAGCAAGCTAATGTGCCAACTCGGGGGCTGTGTTTCAGCAACAGGCACCTGAATCAGCAGCGACTCCTGCATTGTGTGTCAGGCAACAATCTGCTGTGTGTGTCAAAAGACTTGTTTGTTAGCGCACATGTATGGGTGCAGCCTGTGCGCCAGCATTTGGGGAATCATGCTACAAGCATTATTCAGAATGGTACAATAGCTTATATTTGTCTCTCTCCTTCCCAGGAAGGTGCTTTTGCCCTGGTGTTCAAAAGTGTCCATTATCCTGGTCAAGCAGTGGGCACCAGGTAAATATTGCTACAATAAACTGTCTCTCTCTCAGTAGTTGGTGTTTCCATTTGAATTACTGTTCCCTCATTTTATATAGGTAAGAGTGTTTATGCTCCGCACCTAGTTGTCAGTCTTCCCCTTTTGGTGAAAATGGAAGATGCTGTATTTGTACCGTATAAGAATCCATATTAATTTCTCTCCTCACCTCTTCATGCCAGTCTAACACCTGCCGAAGACCTTTTGAAAAGTCCTTAACGGCCAGATTCATTATCCATGTTTCATTTATGCTGGGTTATACCCAATCGGAAATAGCTCCCATCTATTGATTGTCAAGATGTGCTGCAGTGGCTGTCCCACTGGGCAGCCTACTGAGGTGGGCTTTGGAAAGAAAACGGGTATGTAGGTGGGGAATAGGAGTTGTGTGTTGCAAGCAGTTTAATATCATTTATGACCTGAAGCACTGGAAAGGCTCCTCTCCCTTAATTCCTAATAATTTTATTAGTTTAATAAAGGTGGGGCATCTTGGTTCTCAGGTTTATTGGAATGAGAATAACCCTCCTAAATGCCAACCCGAGCATCCAAGTACAGGCCACCAGGGTATTGTTTCGAGGCTCGCACTGAGTCTGGCCCAATTGTAGCATTCAGTTTTTACATTGTGCCTTGATAATACACGGTCTGCACTTTTTCCCAGGTTTGAGTGTGGACTTCCTCAGCTTGTTTGAGAGAATTTGATATTTTGAGATCTTTATGCAGAACTTGTACAACATGGTGGGAGATAACATGCGTATGAATAGGAGACACT